TTTTTTTTTTTTGGAAACATAGTTTCTGGTCTTGCACAAGTCCAAAAGTGTACTAACTCAACTTCCATGCTTCATTGTGTCATCACGTACGAGCATGCATGATTTTGACCCTCAGTCACAGTTTATAGTCATGCAAACATGTCTTCTTGTACATTTACACTTGCTTCATTCCCTTATTCTACTATATAATTCTTATGACAAAATTATACATAGACCGTATCTTTGCCAGCCTTTTAGCACTGTTTTTGATTTAGCGATTCCGAGAAGATATTCAGAAAATGTTTTGAAAGCCCAGCTTTTAAGGTCCGCATCCAAAAAAGTCAAATCTGGCGGCTTCCTGACCCGTAGACATATTTGTATTTAATATAGCCTGTGAAGACACTTATTTTTAATTTTAAAATCAATAGGAACTGCTGCAGGAAACGGATACGCCGCGAATTTCGATTGGAGAGGGCAGTGAAATGGAACAACGCATTGATCTGCTAGAAAGAAACGAAAAACGTTTACGAGGTACGTACATAAACATACTGCTGCGAACTTTGTTTCACAGTATAACTTGTAGGTAAATTTGCTTGCAGAAGAATTTCAAACACATTTGGAAGAACGGCTTGAGGAGGAAACGCTAAAAGTATCGGCCGCCTATGAATTGAAAATTGAACAGGAGAGCAAAAAAGTATGCGCTGCCAAGCCAGCTTATATTTCATGATTTTATTTCATTTGTGCTTAAGACTCACTTTCTGAACGTCCTTGCGATTGCAATATTTTTCTCAAAATAAGAGTTAATGAACTGTTTTGAAACTTCAGAGCAAGAAGCTTGAAGAAGATATCAAAACGCTGAAGAATGAGTGCGATCAAAAAGCGCAACAAATTAGCGATTTGAATGGCAAAAACAAAAAGTTGATGGACGAACTAAATGCCGTGAAGAGCGAATTAGAAAGGAAAAATTTAGAAATAAAAAATTTCAGCAAAAAGACAGATGAGTATTTGAGGTAAGTTTCGGAAAATAAATTGGTTTCTGGTGTCTGTGATTTACAAGATTCATTTGGAAACTTGGGTAAGTTATAAAAAAGAAAAAGCACAGTAGTTGAAGATCACTACGAAAAATGAAACGGTGCGTCGCTCTAAAACACTTGAAAGCTGTTTCCTCGACATCCTTGCTGATTGCATCTGCTAGTGATCAATGGTCTTGCTTGAGTTGCTACAAGTGAGACGGTAGGCGCAAGAATCAGTTATTCATTGAGAATCATAATTTATAATGTCAAGGTGGATGGGGGTGAAGGGATGGGGGAGGGAGAAGGGAGGGGAGGGGGAGGGGCGAAATATATAACGCAAGAACTAAAAACCTACAAACTAAAAGTATGCGGAGATTGGTTCCCACGATAAATTTCAACTTGGGCCTTTCAAATTAGTGAGTGGATTAGCAAGTGACTGAATTAGCAAATTAGTGAGCGAATTAGAAGCCATACTTATTTTCCGAAATAATCGTGGTACTTCTCCTAATAATTTCAAGCGTGTAGCGTAAAATGCAGTTCCGTTTCCTGTGTTGCATTTTGACTTATCACTCTGGACTCCGCCTCAAACTTTCAAATTTTGCTACATCGCACCCTGCAGCCTCAACTTCTAAGATTAGCTTTGTAATTTAAGCATAGCGCAAGTTATCATATCAAAAATTCGAAATTTTGCTTAGCCGAAAAACACCTGTATTAGCAGTCAAACCTCATCGTTTTCGATGGCCAAAGACGTGTTAATATTAAAATTTTGCGAAGGAACGAACGATGAATTCAAAATTTTGCTGCTTTTCAATCAGTTGAAAAACGTCACAACGAAGCGCTGTATAAAATCATCGTCTGGGTAATGCACAGCAAAAATGTGTGACTGCTCCAGCCGTCTGATGTGCTTTGTTCACTCACTCAGTGTCGTATATAATTTTTTTTTTCAGGAAACGAGAGAATCAACAGGCTATGGCTCTTGAAAAGAAAATTATGAATTTGAATAAAGAGCACGAGAAAAAGATTGATCTTTTAAAACGACACGAAATGGAGAAGGCTGCCAAGTACCAAAATTTTTAATAATAGTGCGAAAATGACATTGGTAGCCCATTAACCATTAAGCAGATCCAAGCATTCCACACCCACGAAGTCGCCTACTTGCCAACTCCCCTCCATTTTTTTTTTT